TCCGAGGGACTGACTTTGTTCCCATTCTACAGAGGAGGTGACAGACCCACTGACATCAGGCAGCTTGCTGGGGGCAGGGTCTCAGCTCATGACTAGTCCGGCTGGGATTCCAACTCTGACGCGTCGGACCCGAATCCTGAGCTCTGAAGCATGCTCTCCTGCCTCCTGAGGTATAAGTGATGTCAGTGAGCTCCTGTATCTGCAGAGTGCTTGGTGACTGACAAGGAGATTATGTTCATTAAGATCCATCTTCCCCTTCCATCTTCAGTATAGCAGAGCCCATTTCCCAGCTCGGGAAGGAGGGTCCTTGTGGGGTCCGCAGCCGTGAGTGGCCGGGCAGGCCCGGGACCCGGTTCTCCCCACTCTAGATGGTGCTGTTTGCTCAGATCTGTAATCGCGAGGGAGGATGGCAAGGGTCCAGCCTGCTCCATCTTCCGGCTGTTCTCCCTCTTGGCTGTTAATTTCTGTCCCTGCCGTCCATCCCCTCCTCGACCCCATCTCTCCCTCTGTCCTCACTGGCCCCATTCCGGCCTGCTGGCCTCCACCTCCTTTGTCTGGAATGGGTTTCCTTCGATGAGGGTGGGGTGGAGTGTTGCTTCTTCCTTCAGCTTCCCCACTCAGATGCGAGCTCATCAGAGAGCTCTTCCGTGCCGACCCCATATAAAATAGCAGCCCCTGGCCCTCTCTGTCCCTTTTCACTTAATTTACTTCTCTTTTCATCACTTGTCCCCACCTGGTTTATATTTACTGGGTTTTTAAAGATGTGCCTTCCCTTCTAGAACATAAGCTCTCTGAGGGCAGGGATTTTGTCCCTCTTGTTCATTTACTGTAATCTACCTTTGGACATACTCTTAATGGACATCCAAAAAACATCCCTGTGTATAGGTAGGATACGGCAAGGCATGGCCATCCCTGACCTGTGCCATGCCCTGGTGTTCTCCCCACTCCCAAGATGAGCCCCAGGAAATTTTGGGGGGCGGGTAAATGCTGATCTTTCCCCATGCATCTGTCGTGCTCACTGGCATGACCTCTTTCCTCCCTCCGTCGCTGCCTCGCACTGATGTTTTATAAATGTATTAGTGCCTGAATGATGTCACTGTAATGCATTTTGGGAATAGCCATGTGGTTTATACACACTTGAATTGCTTTGAATGCAAACCTGACATCACAGTGAAGGCAGCAGCGAACAACATATGCACAGTAAACAGGCAGAGACTGTCTTATTGATTAACAGATGAGGCCTCTATTATTGATCAAAGCTTGGTGAGGAAATTTATCACTTTTAATTTCAGGGCTGCCAAATATTTCTGCCTCTGAGCCAGCCATTACAGAGACAATTTAAAGGCACATGCCTCCTTGGGAAGAGGGGGTTTCTGCCTCTCTTTGCTGGGCTCCCGGACCCAGGAAGTGTCTATCTTTGCTGTTGGGCTGTCCCTGGGGAGTTGGGGGGCGGGGGTCTCGGTGGGGGTGGGGGGAGTCCCAGAGCTTCCCGAGTGGGGCCTGAGATGGGAGCCAACGTCTGCGGTCTCGGCGTGTGATAGGAGTTCTGACCCATCTGGGTGGACCAGGCTCTGCACAGAGGCCAGGGGGCGTTCACAGCCTCAGCTCAGTGTCGTGACTTCAGCAGGGCAGGCGGGGAGAGGGGAGGACGCTGAGGGCAACCAGATGTGGTCAGGCTCGGGCCAAGTCGGCAACCTTGACAAGATCGCATGTGCTGATCTGTTTTTATCTTCATGTGAACTTGTCCGATGGCACACATCCGGCCCTTCGCTTCCTACCTGCCCTCCTTCCTTTCTCTCTGCTTCTCGGTCCTTAAAGCTGATGCTGCTCTCGCCGTGTGGATGGCTGTTTTCTAAGAACCCTCTGCACCACATCCCTTTGAGGTGGCAGTGAAAGCCTCCTCACCTGGTTGCAGGGCTCCTGCCTGAGGCTCAGCCCACGGGGCTCTCCGGTCCCCGCTGCCCTCCTCGGGCCTCCCCATCTGCTCTCTCCTTTAGGGAGCCGTTAGAACTGTGAGAAGCAAAGAAAGAAAGGCGGCGAAAGTCAGATCCCTTCCAGATCCGCAGGAAGTCATTGCTGGCTAGTGAGTCGGGACTGGGGGAGAATTTCTCGGGGCAGGAAGGCTGTGGCTTCATCCACCCGCCTGGTCTGCGCTGCTCTTTGACGTACTTGTTGCGTTTCCAGTGTACGTGGATGGAAAGGGGTCCTGGCCGCCACCTGAGGGAACACACATTCGGACTGTCTTGCTGTCAAGTTCCTTCAAAAGCTCCTTCTGGAAGCCGTAGAAGGCACGAATGGTCCTTGGTCCAAGGACACCCTGCAGCTTGAAGGGACACCCGGAGGTGATCGTGACCTCCCCGTCTCCAGGCAGAATTCAACTCCAGCCACCTAATACAACTGGCAATATTTATATTTGAAGCTCTTAAGGAAAAGTGACTCCATATCTTTCCTAGGGCACTTTTTCATTCATTTATTCAGCCAGTCAACTAATGTTTTTATTGAGCCACCTGGTAGAGGGTATATTTTGCTCATCAGTTGGAATATAGACAAGGTCACTGTTCTCCTAGGACCTGACATTCTGTACACACTCTGGGATCCTTTTACCCGTCACTGGCAAGAACTGTTTATTGCCGTTTAATTTAAGCCCATGCAGGTACAAATTGTATTCTGAGTTCTGTTCCTTATAGTATGTGCTGTTATTCTAAGGAAGAAGTTTTTAAAACTTCTTAAAAAGAGTAGTGGAACCATTTCTCCAGCTAGAATTTTACACAGAACTTTGATGTATAAAAGGGACGTATTGGAATTTTATTTTCTTGTGTTGGGGGGAGGGAAGCCCATACCTCACCTTCTTATCCGTGAAGCATCTTTGCAGGTGGAGGCCTAGGGAAGACCAAATACACAGAGATTAAGAACAAAGGCTCTGAAGTCAGGCTGGCCGGGTTTGAATCCCCTTCTGTTACCCCGTGCGACGCTGGGCCAGCTACTGAACCTCTCTGAGGTTGGGGTTTCTCGTCTGCTAAAGGGGGGTAATAGCAGTATGTACTTTTCACGGTTGGTAGGATCAAAGGCAACAATACATCTTAAACACTTCGCATCGTGCCTGGTATCTGGTAGAGCCTCAGGAAAGCGGAGATTTGGAAAGCAGCACTAGGTTTCTACTATAAATATGTAAGAAGTTCTGCCGTGGGGCGCCCGGGTGCTCAGGGTCCTGGGATCGAGCCCCGCCTCGGGCCCCCTGCTCAGCAGGGAGCCTACTTCTTCCTCTCCCTCTGCCCTGTCCCCCCTCGCTTGTGCTCTCTTTTGCTCTGTCAAATAAATGAAAAAAATCTTTAAGAAAAGTTCTACCTCTTCTGAGACTCTCATACAAATGTAAAACACAGCGTTGTGAAAGGAACGACGTGGAGAGCGTCCTGGAAAGGGCAGAACAGAGCCGGCGTGCTTGATGCGCGCATCCTCCGGTCCTGCGGATGGAATGGGATGGAGAACTGGGACCAGGCTGTGCTCACGTGCAGAGACTCAGGGAGGGTCCAGCGGTTCCACCCAGGGCTGGTGAAGACAGCTCCCCGTGGAGTTGGGTGGCTAGCTGGTCAGGCCGCACAGCCACATAGAAGAATTTAGAATCAGTGCAGATGGTGAGCCGTATAAGTTCTTGAGCAAGAAGTAGGAAGGAAGCAAGTGGCCTTCAAGGCACCTGCATGTATTGGGTGAGTCAGGCCAGCTGGTGGGTGTGGCGGCCGTCCTGAGTCTGCCAGTGTTCTGGGCACCACCCAACAAGGGCCTGGATGGGGCAGTGAGAATCGACATGCAGTGTAAGGGATGCATCTAGAAGACATTTCGAATGAAAACGGCCAAGGCTCGAGACAGGTGCCCCCTGAATGAAGTCACCGCATCAGAGCCTTGAAGAGTGTTAGCAAATGGTAAAAAGTCCTGTTTTTCTTGATGCTGTGGCCTTGTCGCTTTGAGCCTTGTAAATAACGGTTCGGAAAAGTTCATCGATTTGCTATCGCACTGAATTGATTTTGGTGATTCCACAAATATGTACAGTAGTAGGTTCCCTCGGGTGTTGGGCCGATGCAGCTGTGCATGTGATGACATGCTCCTGCCCTCGGAGAGCTTCTAGTGTGGCAGGAGACAGGGATGGGTCCACAGGCATTTAGGAGAGTACACAGTGAGCCTTTGATCTGGAACGTACGGGGTGCTGTGGGAGCACAGGGAAGGGCTGCATCCTCCAGATGCGGGGACAGAAGTATGGCAGCTGGTGCGTAGGTGGTGCTCTCCAGTGGGGCTGGAGTGTCAGACGTGGGAGGAGCAGAAGGATGCGCAGAGGCCTCTCAGCGGGCAAGAGCCTGACCCCTTCAGGGAACCCGACCGGCTGAGTGGGACTGGAGACCAGGCAGCAAGAGTGAGGGGCGAGAGACAAAACTGGAAAGATAGGCACGTCCAGAAGTGCTTTGTGAGTCTTGGTGAGGAGTTTGGATTTTATCCTGAAGACACAGGAGAGTCACTCAGGGATTTTAAGTGGTCAGGTGCAGGGGGTTGTTGGGGCAGATAGTCTAGTTTTGGACGTACTGAGTTAGGGGCTGTCCAAGTAGAGGTATGCCAGCAATTCCTACTTTCCCATAAGGTACAACTTAAGCAACAGGGCACGTTTCCTCTTGTTGAATCTTTACTCCTCTCTGTGGAGCCAGCCCCCAGAACCCTGCTGCCTCTTGGGGCATCTCATCGAGACCCCATCTCTGCTTGTGTTGGTTATTCTGATTCTGTTCCCTCTTCTCTCTGGGAGACCCCTGAATGGTGGCATCTGGAGCTCAGTTGGGTGGGTGGTCACAACCTGGAGGAGGGGCTGGGCTGGCTGCTGGGGCCAGCGGCTGTCCCTGACTCGGCATCTTCACCGGTATCCAGCCCCTCCCCCAGCATCCACCTACGCGATTTCGGCCCAGGACCCATTCCCTACAAACGGAATATCACTCTCACGTTGACTGCCTCCCCTTTCTTTTCAGCGGGTGCCAAAGCCTTTGTCTGTGACCAGTGTGGAGCCCAATTCTCGAAGGAGGATGCCCTGGAGACACACAGGCAGACCCATACTGGTGAGTTGACTGATGCCCATTCTCCAGGTCCTCCAGCGTGCCAGCTCACGCATGAGGTAGCTTGGCGGCAGCCTCTTTCAACAAACATGACATCTGGTCGTGTCCTGGGGATCTTGTGCCATGTTCAGCTACACTTGTGTGTGGGGCTGGCTGGCAGGAACGTCCACGTGTGACCTTGCCCCATAGCAAAGGCTGCCCTGGATGAGGTCTCACAGGCCCCCAGAGTCTCATCTTCACAGAGCCCTCTAGCATGCTCTTGTTGAGGTCTTAGAAGGCCTGCGATGTTATCTAGCATCCCCTTGCCTTGGTGAACGGTCAGGAAACCTCTCGTACTCTATCTGAATACCTCTGAAACCCTCAGTGGCCACAGCGGGCTGGTCTTCCCGCTGTGAGTCAAGTCATGATATAAAAGAAAGCAGTGTCTACAAAAGGATGCGTGTGAACCATTCAGCTGACAATGAGGTCACCGTATTTGGTGTTAGAGGCCTGGTTGCTCGGCCTCAGTCCCATCACACCATTAGTCATCTTTAGTGTAGCCCAGGGCCGTACCCCATGTCACCGGGGGAACCTTTCAGTAACTTTGTAAGGTCGGAGGCACCTCCCATGTCATAGACAAGGGCCCTCCAAGGAGGGTCAAGTGACTTGCCCAAGTTAACAGGGGGGCCCGGAGTGTTGCAGCTTGGATGGCCTGGGTCTCACCCTGGCTCTGCCCTGCCTGCCTGCGAGACCAGGAATTCATCCTTGATACTCTCTTACTTGGGGTCACTTCCTCCGTTAGCAAAGCGGAGCCATAATCGTACCTACCTCCGTAGCGTCGCCTTGTCACGGGGATGTATTAAGATACTTTATTTGAAGCGCTCTGCAGAGTGTTTGGCCCATAGTGAGCATTTCGTACATAGGAGTAGATGTATTTAAAATATTTATGGACTTCCCACAATGTGCCTGGCATGCTTGTTGCATTTAGGGTATGGTAACATACGAGACAGATGGCATTCCGGCCCCTCGTGGAACTGAGATTCTAATGGGGAGACATTATAGGCAAGTAAGTGTGTAATATAAGGTCAGGTAATACTACGTGCTAGTGGGGAAATGAAGCAGGATAAGAGGAAGAGAGTGATAAGGAGAAAAGTGATATATTTTTTTTTTCTTAAAGATTTTATTTATTTATTTGAGAGAGAGAGAATGAGAGACAGAGAGCATGAGAGGGAGGAGGGTCAGAGGGAGAAGCAGACTCCCTGCCGAGCAGGGAGCCCAATGCGGGACTCGATCCAGGGACTCCAGGATCATGACTTGAGCTGAAGGCAGTCGCTAACCAACTGAGCCACCCAGGCGCCCGGAGAAAAGTGATATTTTAGATTAAATAGCCGGGCCTCTCTGAGAAGGTGACATGAGGGAGTGAGCCTCTCAGAGGGAACAAGCATTTGCAGAAGCCCGGAGGCTAGGCTAAACTTGACTGGCTCAGGGAATAGCATGAGGAGCCTTGTGGCAGGGCAGGGAGAGAGGGCAGGGAGTGGTGGCAGATGAGGTAAAAAATCAGGTGAGTCTCTCAACCCTAGTAAGGAATTTGGATTTTATCCTCCGTGTGCTGAAAGTCCATTGGAGGGGGATAAAATATTTGCAGATCGTATCCCTGATAAGAGACTTAACAGTTAGAAAAGATAAAGTACTCTTACAACTCAATAATAAAAATACAAATAACCAAAATAAAAAATGGGTAAAAGATCTGCATAGACATTTCTCCAAAAATAGACAAGTAGTCAATGAGCGCATGAAAAGATGCTCGACACCACTGGGCCATCATAAGGGAAATACAAATCAAAATGACAAGTTGTTTTTAATACCCATCAGGATGTGGCTATAATACAAAACACGAGCAAGAAGAAGTGTTGGCGAGGACGTGGAGAAATCGGAACCCTACACAGGGGTGGTGGGAATGCAAAATGGCGCAACCACTTTGGACAGCAGTCTGGCAGTTCCGCAAAGGGTTAAACATAGAGTTACCATATGCATAACAACCCTACTCCTACGTGTCTACCGAGAGAAATGAAAACATACGTTCTCACAAAAACTTGCACATGAATTTTTATAGCAGCATTATTCATAATAGCCAGAGGTAGAGATGACCCAATGTCCGCCCACTGATGGATGGATAAACAAAATGTCATTTATGCGCAGGATGGAATATTATTCGGCTATAGAAAGGGGTGGAGGAGTGATATACTGTACAATGTAGATGAATCTTAAAAACATCATGCTCAGTGAAAGGAGCCAATCACAAAAGGTCACATGTTGTATGATTCCATTTATAGGAAACATCAAGAATGGTCAAATCTATAGATGGAAAGTAAATTAGTAGGTCCCAGAGGCTGGGGGAATTAAAGGGAAATTGGGAGTGACTCGGGGGGAGGTGATGAAAATGTTCTAAAACTGATGGTTGCACAACTCTTGAGTATATTAAAAACTATTGAACTGTACAGTTTAAATGCATGAATTACATGTTATATGGTATATGAATGATAGTAATGTATGCACACACACACACATCCCACCCACACGCACGTGCACAAACACGTATAGAGAGAAGGAGATAATAGTCCATTGGAGGGTTTTGAATGGGAGAATGACATGACTTGATTTATGTGTGTAACAGCTCACTCTGGCTCCTTGGGAATTGACCACGGGGAGTGTGTCACTTAGTAATTACTGTGTAATGAACCACTCCACCAGCAGATTAAAGCCACCGAGGGTTATTACCCCTGACAGTCCTGTGGGTTGACTGGGCTCAGTTGGCTGGTTTTCACTTGGGGTCTCTCATGAGATTGCAGTCAAGCTGTATGTGGGTCCGGAGGTCGTCTGCAGACCCAACGGGGCTGGACATTTAGGATAGCTTCCTCACTCTCCGTGCTCTGCCACTCGGCCTCCCTCCGCGGTAGAGTGGCCTGAATTTCTTCCGGGACAGCTCAGGGTCCCAAGAGTTTGGAAGCGTAAGCTGCCAGCTCTCTTCTGAGCTAGGCTGAAAATCTATGGCATCGCTTCCACCATGTTTTATTGGTCAGAGCAGCCACAGCTGAGCCCCAGATTCAGGGGGTGGAAGGCTAGACTCCCCTTCTCAAGGGGTCGTGACAGACAAATACGGAGTGGTATATGGTGGTCGTCTTGGAGACTGGCTGCCAGGCTACTACAGGGGGTAGCGTGGAAGAAGGAAGACCAGTCAGTTGTTGCGGCCGCCACCACCATTAGGTCAGCGGTATTTCCGTGTCCTGTGACCTCCCACGATCTGCCTTTCCCAGGTGGAAAACGTGGTATCAGGGGCCTTGCTCTGGACAGCTGGAGGAGCGCTTTCTAGGTGAGCGTCTCCCTGGCCTGGGTACAGAGAAGGTGACTTGGCCAAGTGATTTTGCCCAGGGTTCCAGAGCTAGTTATCTTAAAAGCCAGGGCCGGACCCGGGTGTCCCGGTCCCAGCCAGTTTCTTATCGCCAGACCACACGTGACAGAGAATCCCACTCTGAGAATTCTGGTCTGGGGCCTGTGGAGCCTGAGCAGTGAGCCGCTTGAGCTGTGCATGCGGATTAAATCTGCAGCAGGAGGAAGCAAGCCACCTCCCAGCCAGGATCAGAGGCGGGGGGTGAGCAGGAGGGGAGGCTGTTTTCGAACAGATCCGGTGCACTTAGTGAGCACCTTCTGTATGCCTGACACCCCCCACCCCCAGGGCTGGGGGGGAATACAGCAGTGATCAATGCAGACATGGTCTCTATTTATTTTTTTTTCAAACAACTTTATTGAAATAGAATTCACATACCATACAGTTCACCTGTTATAAAAGTACACAATTTGATGATTTTGGGGATATTACACTATTTTTTAAGCATACAATTCATGGGCATAAATGACATTTCTGCCTGTTTTTAGAATCTGGGTTGATGCAGCTTTGAAAGTTGGGAGCCGTCTTAGGACCAGTGCTTTTCTAGGATTTATTAAGTCAGTGAGAATTTGAAAGTGGCCGACTCCTTCCAGAAAAGTCTATCTGACTGGTGGTTGGAAAGAGCCTGGAGTTTGAGTCCAAAGCCTGAGATGGGGCTCTAATTCCACACTCTGGTAGGATGATGGCCTTGACTTGTTATTCATCTTTTCTGCCCTGGAGGTCACCTCACCTGCAAAAGAAATACAGTGCATCCTTCCTATGGCAGAGGTTGACCCAGCCCATCCTGCCTCCCTTTAGCTTTATCTCCAGGTTGAGTCAATGGAGCTCTTGAAAGGAGCAAGAAATGGAGAAACTGAATCCAAATTAGGGGTGAGAGGTGAAGGGGGATGCTTTAGGAAGGGCTCCCTCCCCACCTGGGCATGAGCTGTGGGCACGCTCCCCCAGTGGTCACGGGCACTGGGCCACTCCTAGGGCAGGCAGGCTTGGCTGGGTGAAGGACAGATGCACAGCAGGGTTATCCTTCGTCAGTGGCTCTTCCTGACACATGGCAGAGCTCCTTTAGAGCACCGTTGCCTGCAGAACCCAGGTAGTTTCCCAGACTCGTCTAATTATCAAAGAAAGGACACAACTGGACATCCATTTGCCATCTCTGTTCTAGGAAAGGGGGCCCATGAAGCAGGGAGTGGCCAACTAACAAGGAATGCGGACATTAACGCTGAAGTTATTGGGCTGGGAAGAGACAGGTGGGGCGCCAGGTACAGTTGGAGAGCCAACAAGAGAGCAGAGAGTGCTCTGAAGAAGAAAAGTAGCCGAAACCCTGGGGAGAGGGAAAGTCATGGTCATGCTGCTCTTTATTTCTGATGCCTTACTGGATAAAACACATTTCTCTCTTATACCCATTTAATAGATGAGAAAACGGAGGCCTAGAAGCCACCCACTAGGAAGTGGAGAGCTGGCGCTTGACCCAACTCCAAACTTCAGCGCTCTTCCCGCTGCCCCCCACCTGCCTCCAGAGTGACTTACTGTGGTCCACAGGTGTGTGGCTAAAGACTGGGGAGAACTTGTTCAGAGATCATCT